CGTGACCGGTTTGCTTGATTGATATGTTGCATATATATCTTTGAAGAGCCGTTGAACTGACTCTTTATTACATCTAGGTACTACTGTGACTGTGCATCTGATCGGAATTGAGCCCACTATAGAGCTCAATATGTTATTTCTTTATCTTTGCTGACACTTCTTGTTGGCATATGACCCATTTCCTATGCTCAAGGTCATAGGACATCTTTTGAGGAGCAAAATCCCGCTCTCTTTTGCTCGCCATGCGATGTCGGGTCTCATCTGTTTCCCCTCACCGGTGCCTCGGGTTCTTTATACGGTGTGGTATGTTATGTCAACCTCGGCGAGGATAAAGGCCAGTCTATCTTTTTCTTCCACTCTATATAGTTATCACCTTTTAGAGTGGGGATTTCTTTGATACAACTCATCAAGTTGTATCCAAAACATAATTCAAATAGGGTGAGAACAGAAATAACAACAATAATTGCATGCCTTAGTTTAACGTTGGTCAAAATTAAAACATACAATTATTTTCTACACTAATTCTACATCACCGTTGGAGAAATAGAATTAATGTATAACAAAAAACATTATAATATTGTCATTAATCAACGCGTTGGTCAGAATAACAACAACATTATAATCAAAAACATATCCATTTTCAAAATTAAATTCTCCCGTTGGCCTGAATTTAATAATGAAAATTACATCTTTAAAAATGTCGGAAACTTTAACATTTAATAATCTTTTCCTATTTTCGAAGCAAATTTACTATTCTTGAACAAAAAAAATATCGTTGGATAAATTTTGTACCAGAAAATTATCATAAAAATCAATTCAAATTGATCAAACGTTTCGGAAAATAAGAAAACAAAAAGCTGTAACAATATCATTCATTTGACCAGCAACTGCTTTTCTGCCCAAGCTGCTACTCACCTTTGCTCATGACAAAATAAAACTGGCCAGGACCAACTCGCGGCCCATCCCAAAGCTTGCAGTGCACCCAGCGTAGCGAAGTTTTCTCTCTCCCGCGCCCGTGAGCCGCAACCTGGGCTTGTGGATTTCGACCTTGTGCCCTATCAGGACCATTGTGGGCGTCCATCTCCATCCTTGCTGTCCGCGTCGCGAGATCAAAACCCAGCGACCTTGAAATCCTTGACCTAGCATCATTCGGCCCGCTCTCTCTCTCTTCGCCTCTCTCTCCTCACTCCTCCCGTCCGATCGCCGCCGGCGAGAGCTTCGACTTTCAACAACGTCATCCATCTCCGAACGACATCAGCGCGCGCCCCATGGGTGAACAAGCCGGAGCGGCTGTTGGTCGCAGCGCCCTAGTGGCCGTTCTCACGCAGATCACCCCCGGCGACCTTTTCTTTTCCCGCTGGGCGTCGCACGCGGTGAGGTGAGCGTCCGAGCCACCCTCTTTCTTTTCTTTCCCTTTCTATTTCTTTGATTCGGGTTTGGCCGATTTTGATTAGGGTTAGGGGTTTGCTTTTCCGATTTGAAATCGGTTCTTTTCCCTTCTCGGTCAATCACCGAAAGCGGGTTAGGGTATGGGTTGGAGATGCATGCTTTTTTTTTTCCCCGAATCACCTTCGGGTTTTAGGGTTCGTTCTTTGCATGAAAACCGAGCCCTTCTTTTCTCGAGATCCGACGGATCGAGTTAGGGTTCAACCGAACGTCGGGTGACCCTTTTCGCTAGATCTGCTGGATCTAATCAACTTTTCTTTTTCTAATCGGTACCCGTTCTAGATCTACGTGCTAGTTGGCTCTGGTACCATTGTTATAAATCTGTGGGATCATCTAGCGATCGGTCTAGAGGGTAGACATCAAAGCGGTAGACTACAAAGAACGATGTAGACCTAGAAAGCTATCTAGAGGAAGGAGAAGGTGTCGAACTTTGAGCCTCCGAGATGATGTCGCGGTTTTGCCGACCATCGCGGGTTCGTTGATGGAGGCAAGACACGGCAAATGACGGGTGGGAGTAGAGGTTGCACAGACGTCGATGAATGCGGAAGGCGTGGCGATGGCGACGGATGCGAGGATCGATGGAGCTTCCGTTTGAGCTGCGCGCCTCTCGAGATCGGTCTAGGGTTTTGTCGGTGGGTTTGCGGCTCACGGTGAACCTCATACTTTGAGCCGCCGGCCCCCACCTCTTTATATAGCGCAGTGCGACGGGGGCCCACCAACCATGTAGGGTTGGGCGCCCCCGATCAGGGCGCGTGACCAAGGCCCAATAAGCCGTTGGGCTTATTGGTTAGGAGATCAATCTAACACTAACTCCTCTGGACCGTCAAGTGCCCAATACTATCGTGTGCCGTTGCCGTAAAAGTCATGGAATCAAAAGCCACAGCAATTCGAACCGAGACCACTTGCTTCAATTTCAACTAAAGATCCCCTGCCGGGATGAGCCTCTGCCTCTGCGTGCAGCGTGCGATTCCATTGAGTGTTGGCTCATCTTACCGCGGCGAAGCTAGAAGAAAATTGAGGGGATGCGACTAAAAAATCGAGTGATTAAGAAATCTACGTCCTTGCATTTTCGAAACGACGAACCATGGTGTTATTTTTTACTTTCGTCATCTCTTCTTTCTCCACGTGGCAAATAAGACAATTATTTATAAATTTATCACCAATGCGATTGCGTAAAGTTGTTTTCACAATCATTATGCCTGGAAAAAAATCCTCTCAACTATCTATCACGTTTTTAGTCTCCACCATTCTTTGAGAATGCTTGCTTGTAATTCTCGGCATTATTAGCACTATTAGGCTCTGGTGTTTTTGTTTTGGATGGAAAACCGTTCCATCAACCTAATAAAAAAACATATAAATTTGTACTCAAACACAAATAGCTAGCCTAATACTGTAGACCGTTGTAAAAGTAAAACAATAACCAGTTATAGCTTTATGCCCGCATTGGAACGCATGAATTTCGTAGAAAGTGTATAATAATTTCAGAAACAGTTTATTTTTCGCAGGAAAAATGTAGGAACGGAAAAAAATCTCATATTCCAAAGGGACCTAATTTGTACATAAAATCAGATTAATTAAGAAAGACAAAAAAAAAGGCATGGCTGCATGGGAGCATCTAATTTAGTTTCATACCGGCTTAAATCCTTGATGCTTGTTGGGTGTTGGCCTGTTGGGTAGCCAGAGCACTCCAGCGACGGAGCCGGTCCTAGGCTCGTAGTTGGATAGCTGCGGCCTGCAGAGTAGTCGGCCTCCGGGTGACGCCATGACGGCAATCTTGGCTGGATGTGCAAGAGCGAGCGAGGCAAGGTCGCCGCGGGCCTGCAGAAGCTAGAAGCCGAGAGGACGGAACAATGCGGACTTGCTGAAACGGAACGATAGAAGATGGAACGATGTATCACGATAACAACCAGATGTTACGAGAAACAATCGATCTCAGGCCTTCCTTAATCGAAGTTGCTGGTTACGGGGGTGCATAAAGGGTCAAAATCTGAGTACTGCATCTGCACCCACGGTCAATAACTCGGCTTCGCCCCTGTCATCTTATCAATCACTGAGATAGTGAGATACCCTACGGATCTGCTGAGCTTTGCTAGACGTCAGAGGCTTGCAAGAATCTATCTCGGGGGTACATCTGCTGCTCCTGGCAAACTTACATCCAGTCAGATCTCAGAGAGGTAAGACGAACACAGCACTCAACGTCGCTCTTGTACATCACATTTTCTTTTTTAATTAATCAGAATGCCCTAAAATGTGTTAGCTTCAAAAGTAGAAATGCCACTTAATTAACTAGATCTACACAAGAGATATATGACTTCATGTTTCAACTAATCCAGAATTCTAGGCCTTTTAGTTCTAGCACATACAGTAGTAAGCTCTCAGTTGCTTCCAAGCAACTGAAATACAGCGTACAAAGAGACACTGCATTGGAAGCTAGGATGTACTCTATGTACGCACTGTTTTTTGGATCCCAAAGAGTAAAAACTAAAAAGCAATGGATCTGTGCTTGCATTGGCACCAGGCCCAGGGTGCCTCTGGACTGGAGGCATGCAACGCAGGAACAGATTCATCTCTGTCTCCCCTTTGCTCTGCATCTGATAGAGTTGCAGTGAACAAAGCAGTCCACATAATGCAGTGCATCTTCAGTTCACAAGATGACTGGTCAATAGGTTAGCCCCCAGGACCAGGAGCCTTCATCTTTTGGACAGAAACCACAGCTCTTATCTCACAGAGTCACAGTGCCCTCACTATCTTTCTCCCCCTCTCTAGCATCCTTGTCTGCTTTAGAACTGAAGCAAGGCCACTTTGCCCGTTCAAAGCTTCACAAGAAAAGAAGTTAAAGAGAGAAGGTACAATGGAGGGAGAGGGAGGAAACAAAAGAAGAGAAAAGGCAGGCTTGCTGCTTTGGCAGGCTGGCTGGCGCTTCTCCTCTTTCTCTTTTTTTTACCCTTCTCTCCCTTTGCTTTTAACCTGCTCCTGGTTTGTTTGTTTGTGGCATGTTTGATGCAAAAGGTTCATGTTTTGTGGTAAAAACTAGACTGCTAGAGACATTCACAAGACTTGTAAGCCTGAATTTTGGCAAACAGGGACTATATTTTGAAACAAAAAAAGAAGATAAAGTTCTGTAAGAGAATTGTATGTGCCGGTGCTTCTTTTCAGAGTTCAGACCCATGACTACTTTAGCAAATTTATGATGTGCTGGTGCTGTGCTGCAGACCATACAGTGGCAATGCAAAAGAATGAACACCTCAAAGAAAACAGGGTACTGCTACTGAGATGTATAAAGCAGCTGCGGCCAAAAGAGAGAGAGAGAGAGAGAGAGAGAGAGAGAGGAGGAGAAGGAGGAGCTCTTGCCACATCCCTTTGCCAAGAATCTTTGATGCTTGCTTGTTTCCATGTGAGAGGGAAGCTTGATACTTACTGCTCTCTTTACAAAAAACAAACCCCCACTGGTAGAATCGAATAGCCTTTGTTTCCCCCCCCAAAAAGCTAAAGTTTTCATCATGCTTAAAACTGTCTTAAATAGCAGTGCTTAGAAGAAGATAGGCCACCTCCCCCTAGTTACACCCAATATCCCAGCCAGACCTACCACGATGCACCTCTTGTCTGTTCCTCTTCCTCCATGCAATGCAATGCAATGCATTGCATCTTCTGTTTGCTTGCTGCTCCCAATATGTCGCCGGCCTCTTCGGAATCGGAAGCTTCCATGCCTCGGCATGCGCTGCCGACGTCATGCTCGGCCCGGCGATCGTCCTGACTTGCCGGTTCCCCTGGAGAAGGCACAAGGATTTGAAACTGGATTAGAAGGGGGAGAAGCCTGAAGCATGGTCTGACTGAGACAGCACAGTCTTTGTTTCAGCAGGTGATGCACTGAAACCGTTAAGACTTTCTGTTGTTTATTTATCATGACGAACCGTGGTGGTGCGCTTTGTTTGACTGCTTTCATGGATGTAGACTAATGATTTCAAGAATGATATGTGCATCTATGTTACTCATTGGGGGAATAGGACTTATGTTCTTGCTTTTGCTGAAAGATTAGCATATCATCATAGGGGAATGTGGGAGTGATGAGGAAAAGGAGCGCATGGCATCTTTTGCTCATATGCGTCTCCCTTTGTTTTTCCCTCCCTGCCTTTTACTCATATTTATTTATGTTATGTGAAACATTAGTTTTTTCTTTCTTTTCTGACCTATATACTACATGAAAATGAAAAATCTTCAGACAAAACATGGTAAATGGGTGAATATGGGGAGACAAACTGATTACATGTTTGAAAAAAAAAACGAACGATTTCTGGCTATTACACAGCACATTGAAGGCACTGCCAAACATTCACCTTAGACTACATGCCAGCAGACAGAAACTGGTGGAACAAGAACATTCCCTTCCCATAACGCAAGCCTGAACAAACAAGCTGTGGCAAAAATGTCGCAAGTGTTGGAATTCTGCTATTTCAAGTTGGATGAAGGCTATAGTAGTAGTAAAGAAACCCTGCAACTTCCATTTTCTAAGCCTATATAAAACGTCTAGTTTAAAGAAACCTGTGCATTGGTACAAAGATAGCAACTGCTTTTCTGAAGTGGCAAAATTGCTCATGACAAGGGGAAAAAAAAGGACCAACTCAAACACCAAAACCAAAGCTTGCAGTGCAGTAGCGTAATCTGTAAATCGAAGTACCTGTTGTGGATAGGATCAGGACCATTGGGCACCCTTCTCTTGCTGTCCTGGAAGGGATCATCAACCTTGAAATCCTCCAGAGTCCTCTGCCCTCCAGCGCCTCTGCCCAGCATCCTCCTCCCGCCGATCGCCGCCGGCAGAGCCGCTTTCTTGACGTCATCCATGACGAACGACATCAGAAGAAGCGCTCCAAACAAGATGGCCAATGCCGCCAGCGCCGCCCGCCTCACGGACACGGCCGGCCTTGTCATGACACCCGCTGGTCGTCGCCGCGCAGCGTCTTCTTCTTCCCTGGTCTCCTCTTCCTCCTCCTCTCTCCTGGCGACAACGCTGGTCTTCTAAGAGCTTCTTCTCATGGGCATGGGGTGGCGCAAATGCGATGCAACGCTGCTGCGGCTGCGGCTGCGGCTGCACAACGTGACTGCATATTATAATGTGGGGAAGTAGCAGCAGGATTTGTGTCAGTCGCTGTTGCGGTATTCTTGCTTCTTGTTCTGTTCTGGCCTCTGGGGCTTTCTTTTGCTTTGGCCGATTCTGCTGTGCTTTTGAAGGGCCTGGGAGGGGGGAGAGTAGTAAAATCAAAGCAAGCTGAGCCATGCTTGCTTTTATTGCACTTTGCTTTTTGAGTTATGTTGTTTTCTTACCTTTCCCTTTTAATCCCTTGTTTCTTCTTATGAAGAGAAGGGTAAAAGACAGTGGATGAAGAAAAAAAAAGTCTTTGAGAGGCATTGCTGCTATCTGATCCTTAAGGCTGCCCCTGTTCTCCCTCAAGTACATTCCTATTGGAAGGTAATTCAGGTCATATGTGGAAAAAGAAAAGGAAAGAATTCATCTTTGAGTCATTCTAGGAGAGAACAGCATGACACATGAGAGATTGCCATGGCAAAAGTGATGTTCAAAAGCAGCAGCTCCAAATCCAAAGTGAGCAGCACCCTGAAGAAATAAACTTCACTTTCATGTGATCTGTCACAATCCTTTTGAGTGTCCTTTTTTCTTTGGGTGAATTGGTGCGATGTTTGTATAGAAATGCACCTTCGTCAGGAACCAAAACTGTGGTTTTGATTCTCTGCTAAATAAATTCCCTTTTGATTATTCTGAGCATGCTCACTGAAGCCCTATTACCTGTATCATCAGTGTAACAAGATTTTGTGGATTGCTGCTTCCTTCATGCTGGTGCCTCTACATATGGAATAAAGTGACTGGCCAAATAGTAATTATATATTTGTTTGTCTCTCTCCTTGCTCTTGTGCAGGAGGCAGGGTTTCTTTGGCAGATCAAAGCTTGAGGCAGGAGACTGAGGCCAAAGAGCTTCTATATTGTGGAAAGGGCCAAAGAAGTTGGTTATTTTTGAGACAGGCTGACACAGTCGCTGTCCTTAAATCCACTGTGAAGCTAGACAACCTGTTCGCGTGTCGGTTTCAGCTAAGACTTATCAGTCAGCCAACAGTGTTTTCCTCTCACAACAAACCAGCATCAGTCAGGCTTATCAACCCAGAAACCAACCAGCAAACAGGCTCAAAATAGTAAAGCAAGCAGGAACAGAGAGTTGCATGCCACAGTGTCACTCCAGCCAGCCTACTGTGGCAGTAAATCACAAATTACAGCATCTCCCAACTGCAGTAAATTCTGGATTCATGTAACCATCTACTAGATGGCACACATAAAAACACGAACAGACTTCAAAACTTCTGAACATTATGAATGCCACTTCATTTCATCCCATATTCACTCAAATATGTGTATACTAAGTGTCGACGTCAGTGTCTACAAGGTGTGAAACTGCATGTTTAACATCCTTCGCTTTGCGTCGTGCTTGATGCATGTTTTTTTCACATGAATCCACTTGGGTGCAGACCATTTCTCACGCTCTGTAACACTATAATGAGGCCTTGTTTGGTTCCTCCTCTAAAGTTTAGTCGCTATCTCAACGGATATTTGAACACATGCACGGAGTATTAAATATAGACTAAAAAATAACTAATTGCATAGATTGCGACTAATTTTACGAAACGAAATTTTAATTAATCAATGATTTGACAATGTGGTGCTACCGTATGTGTGCAGTTTTATTATTATTATTATCCGAACACTTCTCTATGACACCTTGATGTGATACTTGACGTGACACCCTATACTGTAGTGGTTGGATTTAAACGCGGCCTAAACGTCAGTTTCAGACACCCGCTCGGGCGACGGTGGTGGGCGCAGGCTAGTAGGCCACGCCTGTCGCTCTCCATTGCTGTGAACTCGTGAAGGATTTTGGTTTGATTCAGCAATTAACCCTCGATCATCGTCAGATTGGAGCGATGTAACCGTAAGGCACGCGACGTTGTCGGTGGAGTAGATGAAGAGCTACAACAACCACGCCGCCGCCGAAAACGAGACACCCAGGCAGCAGTTGCGGGAGGACGCGGATGCATGTGACATGCCACCGGCGACATTCCGGAGCTTTCCGGCCTTGTCTGTGCCCGCATCATCGCGTTCCAAGAGAAGATCAAATGGACGCGAATCAAGGGCCACGACGCCAAGTTGTCACCCCTGTGGCCGCCGGGAGGCGAGCGGAAGGCGGTGGTGTACCTCACGAGCCTCCGCGACGTGCGCAAGAGTGCAAGACGTTCGTGTACTTCACGAGGCTCCGCGGCGGCGGCGGGAAGGAGAGACTCGCAACAAAAGAAATCGCTGGAAGAAGGACGCCGCGAGGTCGCGTCGCGTAAAGTTATGTGGAACTGAGGAAGATTTCCCAAGTGCGTAAATTTTAGGAAGAAGTATTAGAAGTTGTTGGAGAGTTTTTTTCTTCTTCTAATCTTTCTAAAAACCAAGGATTAGGAGGCGATTTAGGAAACTATTGGAGATGCTTTAATGCCTTAGTTGTAGTCATCATGAGCTAGTTGGCCTAGCTCACTCCGTTCTTAAATAGTAATTAGAGTATCTCCAAGAGTTTCCTAATTTTTCTTCCTAAAAACACCATGTTTTCTAACTCTAAAAAGATATTGGGAGAAAATAAGAAGTTCATCTCCAATAGTACCCAATATTCTACTCTAAAAAATTAAAATTTGGTCCATCACCACTTGGCCTTCCAATTCCATGATCGGCGTTGGGAGCGAGAGCGGCGGCACTGGGGGCAGCCCGGGAATGTCCGCCGCGCCGTCCATCTCCCCGAACTCGCCGGCCACCTCCTTGCACTGGCGCCAGCCAAAAGTGATTATTAGAGAGCGCGCTGCATGGCTGCTGATTGAAGTACAGTACTCCGGCACTCCGAGCTCAAGGGCATGAGCCTGACGACTAGCGGGCGCAGAACAGGTCGAGGACGCAGCGCGCCCCAGGCACACCAGGCTCGAGATGGCCGCTCGCGTGGGGCGCGTGCGTTGCCACGACCTGCGAGATGAACTCCATGGAGCGCGTGGTCCGTCGGGGCTCGACGGCCAAAGGCGGTGTATGCGAACGTTGAGGCCGGCGGCCTCCTCTCTGTCTGGCGTATGGACCTGCCCAAACATGCAAGCTGAATCACGATGGACCGATGGAGTCGGAGCGCCGCCGCCCGTGACCTCGGTGGCGGGGCCGGGACCCGCTCTGAAAGCTGCGCGCAAAGGCGACGCTGCCGCCGACGCCTTGAACGAAGCGTGACTGGAGCAGCAAAACCACTCCGTCGACGGCGTCTTCGGCGCTAGGGTGCAGGCTCATCGTCGTGGAAGTCGCTAGCTCCAGGTGCCGGCGAGTTTGGGGAGATGGACGACGCGGCGGACATTCCCCGGGCTGCCCCCAGTGCTGCTGCTCTCGCTCCCGATGCCGATCATGGAATTGGAAGGCCAAGTGGTGATGGACGACGCGAAGGAACTCGCGAACTGGTGATGGACGAGGCGAAGGAACCTCTTTCCGCGCGACGAGAGTCCGCGTAGTTTTACGCGGACTAGGGGGATTTTTCCCAACTTCTAAAATATTAGGAGGTTGTATTAGGAGTTGTTGGAGAGGGATTTTTTCACTTTTTCTAAAAACCAAGGATTAGGAGAAGGTTTAGGGAACTCTTGGAGATGCTCTTAGTGCCTTAGCGAGGATATCCAAGATATGAGTTATCATCATTTATGGGGAGCTAAAAATGCATTTTGACAAACATAAATAAGAAATAATTGTGATACAATTAGGAATTTAGTATAAAAATGAATTTTAGAGTATCGAAAACTTGTATAAGAACCAGAGACAAAAAAAAATTCATCATTTATGGGGAGCTAAATTTGCATTTTGACAGACATAAATAAGAATATATAGGATAAACTGGTACAGTTAGCTAATTTAGTATGAAAATGCAATTTTGGAGTATATTGAAAACTTATATAACAAGAGACAAACATGGACAAGGGATAAAAAAAAGTTAAAAATGCTTGGTGCTAATTTCTAGCACTTTGTACATCATCTGCTATGTACATATGTTTATACATACATGTTTACATACATGCTTCTTCTTTACACATATACATGTACATAGCTGATTAGCTGTGCCTCCCGGGCAATTTGATACGAAATTAGAACACATTAAAATAAGGTCTAAAACCCGTATTTTAACAGTACGGTACTAAAACCTCCGACAGACGCGCACGCGCCCGTCCGTTTCCGCTTTGGTGCCGCCGCTCGCCCTGCTCCTTCTTGCCGCTCTCGCGCTCGCGCGGGTTGTCTCCCACTCCCACGGCGGCGGGGGCTTGTACGATCTGGCGTGCGTCACCCAGCTATCCTGACGCCACAGGTGAAACGCCTGTCTGCCTCTCCGGCTGCGCGCGCGGCCTGCGGTTTCACAATCTTCGTCTGGCTGACAGTGACAGGCGTGTGCTCACCTGCTCCGGCACCTTCTTGGCCAAGCACGAGGTAATGACTCTGCACCTTCCTGCGCATTAGTGATTGTGTTAGTGCGTTCGTCCCAACTCTCTCCTCATTGCCATCGCAATGTGCACCTGCATTGGCATGGTAGAGACAAGGTGAGCAAGAATTCTTTCTTTCTAGTAATAACCGATGATTAGTGCACCATTGAACTGCTGGTTTAACATGTCCTAGTTTAGTTCTTTTGCAAAAAGACAGCTTATCTACTGACAGTGGTCTTTCCTTGAGATCAAGCCATGATGACGGAATACTAGCACTTCTGCTAACTGATGATAACTAAAACTGGTGAATTAGTATAGTGAACTCCTTTCCTTGAAAATATCAAAGTAGCTATATATCTGAATGAAAAGATATTTATGGCCTTCGTTTGTTCATACATTTGCCT